AGCAGCAATGTGGATTCATCGACTCGCTTCAAGACATTAATGACCAATGTGGTTAGAGCGGGGCCTGTGGGGAACTTGTACAATCAAATCAGATCGGAGCAGGATGCGGTGGCTGGCAGCAGTCGTGCGGAGCTATAATGACATCCCTGCACATGGTCGTCCAAGTGATTTCGTTTCTCCTGATGTACGACACAGTTGCTGGGCTATGCACTGGCACAGCGTTAAGTTAGTTTGAGAATATGCCACGAGGATGCACCTTATGGGGAACTAACATGGACAATGTAAGCAATCAGCTTGCTTTGATGTGATGTTGCAACACACCATACGATGGTTGAAAGAGTGCTGCTGGGTGAATGAACATAAGGTAAGAGATAACATTGTGCAGGCCTTTCGAATTTACTGGTGTAGTCAGTTAGCATGACAAACTGCTTAGCGCGTATAGCCCCGCCAAATTACGAACCTGCGCAGGTTCGGTGGTGGTGATTGAGCTGGGTCCTCGCGGTACAGTACTGGCTTGATCTTGATCGTTGTCGTTCTCCCTCGATGTTGCGTTCGTTCCAAACCTTGCTTCAAGTGCGCAGCCGCTCTGCCAGCCACACCAAGCCAAACCTTCCTTTGGGCTTGTCGCCTCGCACGCGCAGGCATTGTTGGGTTTGACTGAGCCCAATTGCCTGCCTGGCTACAGCACCCAGCAAGAACGGCTCCACACCACACAACACACGAATTGAAACTCCAAATGACTGGATGACTGGGTTGGATCGACTTTTTATCCAGAAAGTGAGCCGACCATGGCTGTGCTTGTGCAACACAGTATACAAGCTGTAGGATGTTCTGCCTGAATGTGCACAAGTCGCTCCGCCTGACAAAGCGCAGTGCGGTACAGCACTCGAAGCATTTGGTGGATAGAATCACGCGTCACATTGACACTAATGTCGGGACGAGGGTGACGGGAAAAGGATTCAACTCAAATGCTCGTGTCACATTCTAGCTGGCTTGATTGCTGGAAGTTAGTATTGTTAGAGGGCCCTACAACAGCAAGGGCCCTCGATGACCTTTGACTTGGCAGGTCGACGCCTAGCAACTGAGTCTACTCGGCACCGACGAATGAGTTCGATGGAGGTCGCATGAAGAAGCGAGAGTCCGTGGGAGTCGTTGGTGCTTCCTTGAGAGTCGCACCACTCCTTGCTGTGTTGGTGGAGTGGTGTGCACGGAAGCGAGAAGTCGATGCTGAGTTGGGTTGGGAAATTGGCGAGGCGCGTTCGCTCACCCACACACCACTTTCGTGGGGTTGGGTTACTCGCAGCACCCACGCAACCTCTTGTGAAACCCTCGCCTGCCTATATATGTTTGTGTTGCTTGTGTGTTTGATATATATTTTCTATGTTCCTAGTGAAGTCCAAAATGCTACTTCAATTCTCACCAAGTCCTTAGAGGCAAATGCTACCGAAACTCTACCAAGTTGCTGGCGCAACATCATTCCCATAGCAGAAACTCTCTCGTTATCGCTACGCTCTCTAATAGATTCCTTCATGGTGCGGTGAGCGTGGAACGAACACGCATAGATTTCCGTCGTCGTTGATATTCGCGTTCGTATACTCGCCTTGGCGTGCGGCGTTAGTGAAGGGCGCTTATTAATCTAAGTTGAACCTCTCTTGATTTCCCTCCAGTTACGTTCTCGGACCCAAGGATAGGGCGTTTGGTAATTTATTACCACTCGTCTGAGGACCCTTGTGAGGTGACCCCGAGACGAGGGATTTAAGGAAGGGGCACTTTATTTTAATTTGTGGTACCTTATAGAGACGTCGTAGAGGATGAGTACTGAGGAGGCGAACGTGGAGGCCGGTAATTTGCGCACTCTAGAGGAGGATCTCGTGGCTCGTCATTCTCGTGGTGAGATTAGTGATATTGAATACGAGCTAATGTTGGAGGGATTGCGCTCGCGTCGGCGTCGTGAGCACCCTTCCCCACGTGTAGAGAATGTTGAGCAAGTTGCGGGAGGTACTAGTGCGTGGGATATGGCTGTCGATGGCGGAAATAGCGATGACGAGGAGTTTGATGGGTTGATGTCGCGTGGGGTCCTGCGAAGACCAACTCGGTTTAGTACGGCTAGCGTCGGCGGTGTACAGGAGCGTGTTCATCGTGCAGCAGCGTCACGAGAGCATGCGAATGTAGGACGGCGAAGCGTTGCTGGGGGAGGAATTGCGGAAGAGTTCGATAGTGAGACTATGCCGGGCGTTACCCCGATTGGATCGATGTCGAGGGACGAGGGAATAGCCCCCAACTATGGCTACTTCAGATTCACTCCAGACAAGATCGTTGTCACTAGTCCGTTAGAAGGACGTCACGACCTGTCGACGTGGACAGAATCAATCGAGCCGCAGCTTGAGATCGCTCAGCTAAAGCGATTCATAGATGGCACCACCCCTATTCCACCAGCGCGTGCGCTTGCGCATCTCTCTCAGTTCCGCGCGATGCAGTTGCTGACATTCACCACTATTTCCCGACGCTGCTCCCCAACCGTACAGATCGCCCTTAAGGCGTGTCGCATGAAGGTTGATGCCGGCTATCAGGCATGGCAGTTTATTATGCGCACGTACATGGCGAAGGACGATCTGTACATCGGTCAGTTAGAGCAGGCGCTCACTAACCTCGAGATGGGAGAGCATGAGTCCGCTACGTCCTATTGCAACCGTGCGCAGCAGATCCTAGTGAACCTGAGGATGGCCGGCGTAGATTACTCGCAGGCGTCGTACATCACTCACGTTGTGAAGGGGTTGCCGCAGCAGTACAACCTCTTACGCAGGATGCTGAAGTTGCCGCAGGTGCGCAAGGAGTTGGACGAGAACACCCTCGCTAGCTACATCATCGAGGAGGAATGTACGCTGGCGTCAGAGGGACGAAAGGACCAATTCCTTCCCCAGGCTAACCAGGTCTTTACCAAGAAGGGTAAGCCCCAATTCCAGCAGAATTCGTTCCCTTCCCCTCCCACTACGGCACAGCAGCAACAACCTAAGAATGGGGGTGGGCTTAGTGGGGGAGGGGAGAAGTGGAAAGGGGGTAAGGATGGCCAGCCGAAGGGGGGGAAAGGGGGTTTCAAAGGGAAGTGCTATGTGTGTGGACAAATAGGGCATGTTGCTAAGTACTGTCAGCAGCGGGCGGATAAGGAGGCAGACACCGGTGGAGAGGGTTCTGGAGGTAGCAGCGGAAAGGGGGGTGATGGCTCTAAGGGGAGCGGGCAATCATCATGTGCGATGGTGAAGCCCGTTGTGGAGCAGACTCCTCTCGTTGTGCTAGAGCCTGAGGGCGGGGAGGCCTTACAGGCTGTTGCAGCTGCTGTGAAGGCGAACCCGAGCGTCGTGCTGCTTGATAGCGGATGCTCCCACCATCTCATGGGAGATCGTTCTGCCTTTGTGGAGATGAGCAGCGGCGGCAGTATTAAACAGGTTACTGGCTTCAACGGCGCGCTTCAGGAGGTGCAGGGGCGGGGCACAGTCGCTCTTCTTGGAGAGGGGGGCAGGCGTGTCTTGGTGCCGGACGTGCTGTACGTACCAGGAGTGCAGGCGAGTCTTCTCTCTGCTGGGCAGCTGCGTGAATGTGGTGTGCAGCTGCTGGATGCCGGGGATGTGACTTTGCTGCGAGCACCAGATGGATCGCTTCTTGGTCGTGCGGAGTTCAAGGGGCGTGTTCTCTGCACGAACTTCCAGCCGTGTTCGACGCAGCAGCAGGAAGGCGAAACGGTGGCACTCCGTACCTTGGCGACGGGCGTGCGGTCTAAGGGGGACCTGTGGCATGCGCGTATGGCACACGTTGGTATTGATGCCATCGAGCGCACAGCGGCTCACGGGTCAGTAAAGGGCTTGGATTTGGAGAAGGGGGGCAAGTCAGGCATACCTTGTGTTTCCTGTGTTGGGGGAAAGATCACTCGTCATACCTTTCCTTCTGTGGGAGAGGAGGAGGATGAGTTGCTCGGGGTGGTGCATGCTGACCTGTGTGGCCCTTTCCGTGAAGCAGCTAAGGACGGCTGCCGCTACTTCTTGGTGCTGAAGGATCGAAAGACGCGATATGTCTGGGCCTACCCTTTGGCCCGGAAGAGTGATGCGCTGGCGGCGTTCCAGAAGTGGCTCCCGATGGCAGAGCGACAGTGCAAGACCACGGTGCAGGCCCTGCGCACTGATCGGGGTGGCGAGTTCCTGGGGCACGACTTCACGCTCTTCCTCGACGGTAAAGGCATCATCCATGACCTCACATGCCCGTACACGCCGGAGCAGAACGGGATGGCCGAGAGGGAGATGCGCAGCATTGTGGAGGCGGTGCGGACGATGTTGCTGCACATGGGTGTGCAGCATCACTGGTGGCACCTGGCGTTGGCTCAGGCCGTCTGGGTGCGCAACCGCGTGGAGCACGCCTCACTACCCTCTGGTGTGACGCCGTACGAGCTCGCCTTCCGACGCAAACCTGATGTCAGTATGGTGCGTGTTTGGGGCTGCATGCTGCAGTACATGGTACCACGGTCGCAGCGTGGGGGGAAGCTGGCGCCTAAGGCTCGCTGGGGGTTGCACTTGGGTGTGTCAGCTGCGAGCAAAGGCTGGACCGTGCTGGACTTGGAGTCCAACCGCCTCATCACCACTGTGGAAACTGTGTTCTATGAGACCATGTCCCTAGCAGGATGGAAAGCTTGGCATCAGCAGGAGCATGGGGGGCGTTCGATGCCCTATGAGCCCCTTCCCTCACTCTTCCCGATCACTCTCGAGGAGGCGGAGGAGGAGGAGGAGGTGGTCGCACCTCCTGCTATGCCCTATGTCCCTACCTCGATCCCCACCCCACCTCCGCCTTCAGTCTACCCTCGTGTGATTCCCCCTGTCCCGCCTTCTTCCTCCTCACCCCCCTTGCCTTCCCCTCCTCCTCCTGTTATTCCATCCCCCCTTTCACCCTCCATCCCTCCTGCACCTGCTCCGCCCTCCTCTTCGTCTTCCACGGCGCCGCCCGTTGGTGGGGGGGGGATGGAGGTGCCACCGTCTGTGGAGATCACCGACGGGCAGCGCCTTGAGACTGAGCAGCTGCAGGACGAGAGCAGTATGGATGGAGTACAGCAGACAGGGGAGCAGCAGATTGGGGAGCAGCAGACAGGGGAGGAGCGGATTGAGGAGCAGCAGATGGTGGACCAGCAGCTAGGGGAGCAGCAGACAGGGGAGCCGCAGACAGGGGAGCAGGAGATGTGGGGAATTAGAGATGGTGGTCGTGTGTTGGTTTCTGGGACGACCACTGCACCAGTGCGTCGCTCCACTCGCATCACTCGTGGTGTCCCGCCTGTTCGATACGCTTGGGCTGTAGTGGTTGAGCCAGCGGGCTTGGATGACGAGGAGGAGGACGAGGAGTGGACTGACCTGGACCCGGACGTTGCAGCTGATCCTGAGAGGCAGTGGGACATAGCGAAAATGACAGTGAAGGAGGCCTTGGGCTGCTGGAAGGGCGACAAGGTGAAGGAGGCGATGGATGAAGAGATGCGGAGCTTGATTGAGCAGGGGACGTGGGAGTTGGTTCCGCGTCCGCCAGGGGTGAATGTGATGAAGAACCGATGGATTTTGAACACCAAGTTCCGACCTGATGGGATAGTGGAGCGTGAGAAGGCGAGGCTGGTGGTGAAGGGGTTCACGCAGGTGGCAGGGGTGGACTATGAGGAGACGTACGCCCCTGTGGGAAGCTATGTGACGGCGCGTGTGCTTCTGGCGATTGCAGCTGCACTTGATTTGGACCTGATGCAGCTCGATGTAAAGAATGCGTTCCTCCATGGCGTGTTGGACCGAGACCTTTATATGGAGCAGCCGAGCTATTACGAGGATGGGACTCCTCGTGTCTGTAAGTTGGTGAAAAGTCTGTATGGGCTCAAGCAGAGCCCGATGCTATGGTATGAGGCCTTGGATGGGGTGCTGCTTGGGGCTGGATGGAAGAAGAGCAAGGTGGATGAGGCTCTGTACTTCAAAACTGATGCTGATGGGGAGATGTGCTGGCTGCTGGTGTATGTGGATGACCTGCTTGCTGCCAGCCGCAGTCAGAGCATGCTTGGGGAGCTGCGTGAGCTGCTGCAGAGTGCGTTTCAGCTGCGGGAGATTAGCCCTGTGGAGAAGTATCTGGGGTTGCAGCTGATTCGGGACAGGCCTACGAGGAGGCTGTGGCTGCACCAGGGGGCCTATGTGGACAAGGTTCATAGGCGCTTCTTTGACGGGGAGCAGCCGCTGCGAGTGCCTCGCACCCCTCTTTCCTCTGACCCTTTCAGTGTGCAGACCTTTGAGGATGTGGGATGGCAGTCTCGCCAGGAGGAGGAGTACAGGCAGAAGGTGGGATCCTTGCAGTTTGCGGCCTGTACCACCCGTCCCGACATCTCGTTCGCCTGCAGCAAGCTGGGGTCGGGCCAGACTGTGCGGAGTGATCAGCACTGGAAGGAGTTGGACCGGTGCTTGACGTACTTGGTGGGGAGCAGGGATGTGGCGCTGGAGTTTGGTGGTGGGCCGGAGTCCTTGGAGCTGGTGGGCTACGCCGATGCTGATGATGCTGGGGACAAGCAGAACAGGACCAGCACAGGTGGCTATGTCTTTGTGCTCGGGGGTGCTGCTGTCTCATGGGCAAGCCAGAGGATTCGTTGCGCCACCCTCTCCTCCACTGAGTCTGAGTATGTTGCTGCTGTGGAGGCTGGGAAGGAGGCGCGCAGGCTGCGCTTCCTGCTGGCAGAGTTTCAACTGCTGAGGAGTGAGGAACCCACTACTCTCTTTGTGGACAACTCCTCCGCCATTTCAGTGGCAGGTGGCATGGGGCTCAAGGGGAGCCTCAAGCACATGGAGCGTCGCCACATGTGGCTGCAGCACATGGTCAAGCGCAGGAAGCTGCAGTTGCAGTACATCCCTACGAGCGAGCAGCCTGCTGACTACCTCACGAAGGCATTGCATTTCCCCGCCTTCAGTCGTTGCTTCGAGGCTGTGGGGCAGGTGAGGCTTTCGAGTGAGGGGGGTGAGACCTAAACACTCCATGATGTGGATGGTGCCATGGCCTATCCATGGCTGGTGCGGTGCGTGTTTGCACTTTGAGAGTGCTTCGTTTGTGTGTGTTTCCCTTTGTTTTGGCGTGTACGTGTGTATGCATGCCCTGTGGTTATAAAGGGCCTTGCTGTAGTATGGCAGGGGAGTGTTAGAGGGCCCTACAACAGCAAGGGCCCTCGATGACCTTTGACTTGGCAGGTCGACGCCTAGCAACTGAGTCTACTCGGCACCGACGAATGAGTTCGATGGAGGTCGCATGAAGAAGCGAGAGTCCGTGGGAGTCGTTGGTGCTTCCTTGAGAGTCGCACCACTCCTTGCTGTGTTGGTGGAGTGGTGTGCACGGAAGCGAGAAGTCGATGCTGAGTTGGGTTGGGAAATTGGCGAGGCGCGTTCGCTCACCCACACACCACTTTCGTGGGGTTGGGTTACTCGCAGCGCCCACGCAACCTCTTGTGAAACCCTCGCCTGCCTATATATGTTTGTGTTGCTTGTGTGTTTGATATATATTTTCTATGTTCCTAGTGAAGTCCAAAATGCTACTTCAATTCTCACCAAGTCCTTAGAGGCAAATGCTACCGAAACTCTACCAAGTTGCTGGCGCAACATCATTCCCATAGCAGAAACTCTCTCGTTATCGCTACGCTCTCTAATAGATTCCTTCAAGTATTAGAAGTAACCTTGTGTTACCTCGCTGCACATCACACCGTAGTTTGCAGCCTGACAACCTGAGAGCCTCTAAGAACGATTAATTCCTGACCAACCTCAACTACTCGCGCTTGTGCGCGCAGTTTCGTCTTAGCTCTCCGCAAACGTCGGTTCGAAATTTGTTAACCTTAAGATTCACAACTCGGGTGGAACGATGGCTTCCAACGTAAGCGCCTTGGTGGTAGCGGCGGTGCTGCAGCTGCTGCTCCTACTGGCGGGTAACGCCGTGCCGAGCGCGGGTCAGGACACGAGCCAGCAGCAGTGCTTCTGGCCGCTCAACGACACGGAGGGTAAGCTCACTCTTTCGCGCGGCATGTAGGCTTCCGCGCGTGATGAGTGGATTTTGGAGTCGACTCGTAGTCAGGACAAGAGCCTACAGCAGTGCTTCTGGCCGCTCAAAGTCACGGAGGTAAGCTCGCTTCGTTTCGCGCAGTGTCGGCTTCTCAGGTTTTCATGCAGTGTCGGCTTCTTTTCTCAGTAAATCATGCAGTGTCGGCTTCTTTTCTCAGTAAATCATGCAGTGTCGGCTTCTTTTCTCAAATGTCGCTTCGATTCTTCAATATTTCACACAATGGTCTAGCGCTATCTCAGCTCAATTCTACCACCCAACATAAGTTCACTCTCATGCACTCTGGGACTTACGTTCTTTATCTAATGCTTGGCAGCGGGAATTCTATTCAGAGTTTCACGCAGTGTAGATTACTTTCCCCTCGACCTGGCTTACATTACCACCTGCGTCAATGTTGGCGTCACATGCAGCGACAGTGGCCACGTCAGGAAAATGTCAGTGCTGCTGCTGCTGCTGCTGCTGCTGCTGCTGCTGCTCATGCCGTCGCTGGTGCTGATGCCCATGTTACCGCAGGAGGAGTACGAGATGCTCGCGAGTGACGCTTTCTTGCCTTGACTCGTGGCTGTTGTGCCCGCAGCCAATGGCAGAGCATGGCAATTCAAGGGGAGCTGCCTTCAGAGATTTTCCAGCTGGTGCACCTTGAATACCTGTGAGCGTCTGCGCTTGAAGCATGAAGTATGAATGTGCTCAACGCTGATGCATGCGCTTGAGACACAGCTCACTTATTCCTTTCATGCACCAATCTCTTCGTGCGGGCACTTGACGGCACTTGAGGGCACTCGAGGGCACTTGAGGGCATGCATGCAGTATGAATGTACCGCATGAATGTGATCAACGCTGATGCGTGCGACCAACGCTGATGCATGTTATCAACTCTGATGCATGTTATCAACTCTGATGCATGTTATCAACTCTGATGCATGTTATCAACTCTGATGCATGTTATCAACTCTGATGCATGTTATCAACTCTGATGCATGTTATCAACGCTGATGCATGTTATCAACGCTGATGCATGTGATCACCGCTGATGCATGTGATCAACGCTGATGCATGTGATCAACGCTGATGCATGCGGCCAACTCTGATGCATGTGACCAACGCTGGTGTGTAAACCGTTCGCAGGTCTCTGCGAGACAACTACCTGCGTGGCTCCATCCCCTCTGAAATTGGCAACCTCGTCGATCTCACATTTCTGTCAGTTCGCTTCGTCCCTCTTAGCGTTGTTCCCTCTGTTATTTGATTTCGCCCCCTGTTGCTTAGCGTCGCCTGGCTGTCAGTTAATTTCGTCCCTCTGTCAGTTGACGTTGCCTCTCTCTCAGGTACCTTCACCCGTCACTCAGTTAACTTCACCCCTCCCTCAGTTAACTTCACCCCTCCCTTCACCCCTCCCTTCACCCCTCCCTCAGTTAACTTCACCCCTCATTCAGTTAGCATCGCCCCTCTGTCAGTTAACTTCGCCTGTCTGACAGTCGACCTCATCTTTGTCAGTAGCACCGACACGCCTCGAACGGTCTCTCTGATTGGTGTTTCTGTGAGTCATGTGTGTATTGTGTGTGTATGTGTGTTGTGTGTGTGTGTGTGTGTGCGTGCGTGTGTGTGTGCACGTGTGTGTGTGTGTGCGCGCGCGCGCGTGCGGGCATGTGCCTGTGTGCCTGTGCATGTGTGCGTGTATGTGTGAGAGTGTGCGTACATTTGTGCGAGTGTGTGCATGCATGTTTGCACGCATACGCATGTGTGTGAGTGTGTGGAAGGTGTGTGTGGATGCACGCACGTGTGTGTATGCGAGTGTGAGTGGCATGCATGCATGACAGGGACATCTCCAACAACTCCTTCTCAGGCCCCTTCCCCACCTTCTTCAGCAGACTCACCAAGCTCGCCTTCCTGTAAGTTAACGCTTCCCACCTGTCAGCAACAATTACTACCTGTCAGTCAACAATTCCCACCTGTCAGTCAACAATTCCTACCTGTCAGTCAACAATTCCTGCCCGTCAGTCACAATTCCTCTCTGTCAGTCAACAAGTCCTCCCCGCCAGTCACATTTTCATCTCATCCCTGTCAGGCACATGTTCATCCCTGTCAGTCAGGCATTTCGTTGAGCCATCCACTTCCACCAGCTGGCCAGTCGCCAGTTGGCTCTACCCCTTCCTATGTCCTCACATGCCATGCCATGCCATGCCGTGCCATGCCATGCCGTACCATGCCCTGCCGCTCCTACCACCAGGGACATGGGATTGAACAAGTTTTCGGGCAGCCTTCCAGATGCCATCGGCAACATGGTCTCTCTCATCGACCTGTATGTGTGCGCCGCCCGGGATGTATGTGCACCGCCCGGCATGTATGTGTGCCGCCTGGCATGTATGTGCACCGCCTAGCATGTACGTGTGTGCTGCCTGGCATGTGAGTGTGCCGCCCGGCATGTATGTGCGGTACCAAGCATCTACGTCTACACCTCGCCCTCCCTCTCTTCCGTTTTCTCCTTCCAAGCACCCATGTCTTCTCCCTCTGTCTTCTACACCCCCTTCGCATCATCCTCTCCCTTCTCTCCCCTCTCCGTCCTCTCCCTCCTCTCCCTCCTCTCCCTCCTCTCCCTCCTCTCTCTCCTCTCCCTCCTCTCCCTCCTCTCCCTCATCTCCCTGCTCTTCCTCCGCCTCTGCAGGTTCGTGAAGGAAAATGACTTCACAGGGGCACTGCCCACCGTCATGGGGCGCCTCACCAACCTCCACTTCTTGTGAGCCTCCTGTCACCATGTGAGCATCTGAGTGACCACGTGAGCATCTGAGTGACCACGTGAGCATCTGAGTGACCACGTGAGCATCTGAGTGACCACGTGAGCATCTGAGTGACCACGTGAGCATCTGAGTGACCACGTGAGCATCTGAGTGACCATGTGAGCATCTGAGTGACCATGTGAGCATCTGAGTGACCACGTGAGCATCTGAGTGACCACGTGAGCATCTGAGTGACCACGTGAGCATCTGAGTGACCATGTGAGTGGCCCCAGTACAGCCCTTGTCAGCTCTGCAGCCTGTGAAGGCCGTTTAACGATGTGATCTGCCAGTATTTTCTGAGTTTTCACCCTTCAACCGCATCCCCTCAGTCATTGTATTGTATCCCAGTCACTATCATCTCACCCCCGTGTGTGCATGCCAAATGACTTGTGTGCGTGCAGAGACGTGTCACACAACCGCCTGTCAGGGACCATCCCCCAGTCCTTCTCCAGCATGGCCAGCCTCGGCGCCATGTGAGTCTCACCTCCATGCCATGCCATGCCATGCCATGCCATGCCGTGCCATGCCATGCCATGCCATGCCGTGCCATGCCATGCCATGCCATGCCATGCCATACCATGGCATCCCATGCCATGCGACCCATGCGATGCTTTGCCATGCCGTGTCTCAGCTCCATGTGAGTTACAGCTCCATGTGAGTCTCAGTTACATCTAAGTCTCAGCTCCATGCCGCGCCATGCCATCCACTCCATGAGCACCGCCATTAACTGCCACCATCCTGCCAATCAGCGTCCATCATACCACCCGCCACATCTACCACGGACCAATGTCGCAGCAATACCCTTTTCCACCAATGTCACAACCCCATGCGCAACACCCCATGTTCCCCCCTCCCTCCACGGCAGTTGGCTGCACCACAACTTGTTTTCGGGGTCGCTGGCGCCCCTCGCTGCTCTCTCCTACCTCAGTTTCGTGTGAGCACTTATTTCGCCCTCCATGCATTATCAGCACTTGTCTCGGCCTCTGTTCCCTGTCAGTACAACAGGCTCTTTTTCTGTCTTCACCAAAACGCCTTTCCCACTCTCTATCTCTCTCCTTCTTTGTCTCCCCATTGCCACTGGCAGCTTCCTATGCTGCAACCGCCTGAACGGATCCATACCATCCATATTCAACTTTTGAGGCGCCTCAAAAGTTCTCCCTTTTCCCATTGCCACGTGCAGCTACCTGTGTTGCAACCGCTTCAACGGGTCCATACCGTCTACCTTCGGCAGCAACTTGTACATCTTGTATGCCTTTCACTACAGTACCATGTGCCATGCGTCGGCATCATCTGTCATGCATCGACATCATCTGTCATGCGTCGACATCATGTGTCATGCGTCGACATCATGTGTCATGCGTCGACATCATGTGTCATGCGTCGACATCATGTGTCATGCGTCGACATCATGTGTCATGCGTCGACATCATGTGCCATGCGTCGTCGACATCATGTGTCATGCGTCGACATCATGTGTCATGCGTCGACATCATGTGCCATACTCCATGCGCGATTCACCATGGCATGCCCTGCCTCCTCTCTCCAGCAAGCATCCATACATCTTGCTCCTCACATCCATTTCGGCCCTTTGCTGTCACGCCTACTCATTACACCAACTCCTCCTTCTCCTTCTGGTCCATCCTCGCCTCATCTTCTTCTCCCTCCCACCTCCACCCCCCCGCCCCCCTCCTCACCACATGTCAGCGAACGGCCTCGCAGGTCCCCCCTCCCACACCCAAAACTCACCTCGTCCCTCCTCCCACACCCACCCCTCCTCCCACACTAACCCCTCCTCCCACACCCACCCCTCCTCCCACACTAACCCCTCCTCCCACACCCACCCCTCCTCCCACACTAACCCCTCCTCCCACACCCACCCTCCCCCCTACCATGGTCTGCCAGTGATGTGTCAGTGAACGACCTCACAGGACCCCTGCCATCCAGCCTCGGGTTCACCGTAGATGCTATCAGCCCAAAATTGTGAGTCCCCTCTACTTCTCACCCCTCTGCTTCTGGTCCCTCTGCTTATGACCCCTCTGCTTCTGACCCGTCTGTTTCTCACCCCTCTGCTTCTCACCCCTCTGCTTCTGACCCCTCTGCTTCTGACCCCTCTGCTTCTGACCCCTCTGCTTCTGACCCGTCTGTTTCTCACCCCTCTGCTTCTCACCCCTCTGCTTCTGACCCCTCTGCTTCTGACCCCTCTGCTTCTGACCCCTCTGCTTCTGACCCCTCTGCTTCTGACCCCTCTGCTTCTGACCCCTCTGCTTCTGACCTCTCTGCTTTGAAGCCCTCCGCTTGTGAGGCACATTCTATCCCTTCCATCCAAATGCTTTTCTATCCAACCTGATCTCTATCCTCCTTTCCCTGCCTATCGATTCCCGTCACTGTGTGCTGCTGTGCTGTGCACCCCTGTCCCTCTGCTCCCGTGTCTGCCCATTGTGCCTCCCTGTCCATCCCTCTGCACCCCTGTTTGGCAGCAACACGTCATTCAACCGCCTCTCGGGGGAAATCCCCTTTGACTTCATCAATGTCAACTTCTACATTCTGTGCGTCACCCCTTCGCCTCCTTCATCCTGTGCTCGCCCCTCCCCCCTTGTTTCATGTGGTTCTTAAGAACTCTCGGAAACCACATGGAACAAATCTCCCTTCCCTCGTGTGAAAAGTCGATTTTTGGGTCGACTAAAAAATCGACTTTTAAGTCGACTAAAAGCTCGACTTTTGAGTCGACTAAAACTCGACTTTTGAGTCGACAAAAAAATCCACAAGCAACAAATCGCCCTTCCCTCCTCTCCCTTGAACAGTCCTTGGTCATCGAATAAATTTGTAAGAGCACAGCAAAGCCAGGTCCATAATGCGAATATCAACATCAGAACGAGACAAGCTGCTAGGAAAGCGGCCCAGAGGGCTGAGCTTTGGCAAGCCCCCACCACCCTCGCCCTCCATCTCTTCTTGAACCCAGGACTTGTTTTCGCACCCCCCACCCCCCCCATCTCGCAGTTCCCTCTCCCGAACCATTTCTCTGCTCTGTTTGAAGCGCCTCAAACGTGGCCCCTCCCCTGCCTTGGTTTCCCTCCCCAGCGACATCTCTCACAACAACTTATCGGGCCGAGCGTTCTTTTCCAAGCCAAATGGGGACCGTACTACTAACGCCATGTATGTGAGATATGTCAGTAGCTTGGTGGTGAGCGCGTGTACAGCACAGCACACTGATCATGAATGCGTGAGCAGTCAACCACAGCAACATACAATCACCAGCCACTGAATGTGACAACCCATTCTGCTCTGCACAATCTCTCCTTCCACCATCGCACCAACCACCATTCCTTCCCATCCGCTCGACACCCTCATTCTGCCACACTAGTGCAACCATTATGTCGGACACTCACCCATGCCTGTCCATCCATCCATCACTCTCCATTCCCGACCCTGTCTCCCTAACCCCCTGCACCCATCACAACCCTTCTTCATTCCCTCTGCACTGCTCGCCTCCTCCATCTGCCAGCAATTACTCGCACAACAGGTTCTCAGGAGCGCTCGACCCCTCCCTCTCCACCCTCACCAACCTCCTCGAGCTGTGCGTTGCCCTCACCTTACCACATCTCTGCCCTCCCGCCCTTCCCACCTGCCACCTCCGCATTGCCTTGCCCTTCCCACCTGTCTACGCACTATGCATATCCCTCTCTGTTGTCTTGTCCCTCACTCTCCTGCCTCACACCCATGCTTTCCTCAACCCCCTCCCCTCCCCCCCATTCCCTCTCTGTCTCTCCTATCACAGCCCCATGCCCCTCTGTATGGTATAGCTTCTCCTATCACCGCCCATACTCTCCGTGTTTCCTCCCCACCATATCCCTGTCCTCTCTCCCCCCACAGGGACATGTCAGCCAACCTTCTCACGGGGTCCATTCCAGCCGTCATCTTTGAGGCGGCCCAGAAATTGAGGCGATTTTAGGGGCGCCTAACAATGTGTCCCTGTGTTCCCTCTTTCCCCCTCCCCCCAGGGACATGTCGGGCAACCTCCTCACAGGGTCCGTTCCAGCCTTCATCTCACGCCTTACCGACCTCACTATGCTGTATGCTCTTGTTTTGCTTTGCGCCCTCGCTCTGGTGTCCATTATTCATGCAGGGGTGCATGCAATGCATGGGTGGTAGAGGATGTTCATTCTCACACTCCTTGCCGCTCCCCTTTCCCACAATGGCCTCTCTCCTCGCATGCACCCCTCTCCCTGCCCTCACTCCACTCCTCACCTCCACACCTCTCCCTGCCCACATTCCACTCCCAACCACCTCATTCCACCCCTCTCTCCCGCCCCTGTGGCCGCCCTCCCCACCTGCAGCGACCTCTCTTCCAACCAGTTCACTGGCACCGTCCCGCCAGCTGTCAGCAACCCCACTGGCCTCGTCAGCATGTGAGATGACTCGTCAGCAAATGTGAGGTGCCATGTCAGCATGTGAGATGACGACATGTGTGTGAGCATGTGTGGTGGTATGTGCGTGTGTGACATTGCACGTATGGTACGTCTCTGTCACATCTTATCTTAATATTGGCAACTCCTGCTCCTACCCACCGCCACCCACCCATGTCTACCCCCGCCCACCCTCGTCCACCCCATTCTCCCCCCTTGACCAGCAACCTGGCGCACAACCTCCTGCAGGGCTCAATTCCCCGGGCTCTCTCGCGCCTCGCCTCCCTCACCTACCTGTGCGCCCTCCTCTCCCTTGCTCGCCACTGCTCCTGCTCACCATCTCATGTCTTGCTCCATGTCATGCACCACGTCATGCCATTTCATGCACCACGTCATGCCATGCAATTTTACTCGATTCTTCGCACTGGCATGCCCACTTGCATGCCGTATGCCATACCTTGTGCGAAATATCATCACCTAATAACCTATACCCCATACTCCACACCCTGCGCTTCATTCCCTGTACCCTATACCCCATGCATGCCCCCTCCCAGCAACGTGTCGTCCAATCAGCTGTCAGGAGACATCACACCGGCCCTCTCTCCTCTGCGCTCCCTCGAGATTGTGTGAGGCGCTCGTGTGGGCAGGGGCGTGGGGCTTGTTGCATGGAGCTTGTGGCATGGGGCATGGGACATGGTGCATGGGGCATGGGCCATGGAGCATGAGGCACGGGGCATGGCACATTGGGCATGAGGCATGGGCACGGCACGGTGCAGGGGGCACATTGTACCAGCTTACCACACCATTAATTTCCCTATGCTGTATCACTATGGGTGTTTTGCGTTCCTGCACTCCGCATTCTCGTATCCCCTTGCCTCCCATTGCTTCATCTCCCCTAAATCTCTGTCATTTACCCCCCATGCCCTGCCATTCTCCCACATCCCTCATGCCCTGCCATTCTCCCCCATTCCCCCATGCCCTGCCATTCTCCCCCATCCCTCCATCTCCCCATGCCCCGCACCGCAGTGACATCTCAGCCATCGAATTGAACGGCTCTGTTCCGCCCTTCTTTCGTCGCATGCCCAACATGACCCACCTGTATGATTCAGCATGGCCACGACATGCCTATGTGCATGTATTTTTCCTATATGGACTTAGCATGCCTGTATGTAAACCACTATATTATTTCCCGTGGAGCATGTCGTGTTTTGACATGTCATGACAACTAATCTCAGCATGCCACGTCATGACATCTGATGTCAGCATGAGCCGCCCACCCAAGACCCACAGCAGAGACACATGGGCATCCATCCTCGCCCATGCCATTATCGTGTATGTACATTTACACGATACTGGCATGCCATGGGGCGACTGTGGTACAATCGCCCCATGGCCCCATGACCCATAACGAGGGCCCACCCCTTAACCTTGTCTGTGCCACGCCATGGCAGGGACATGTCCATCAACCTACTCTCCGGCTCACTGCCACCCTCGATCCTCAACCTGCGACAGCTCTCCCATCTGTCAGTCAACTTCCGTATCTATACCACCCATCAGTAATTTCGGCGTCAGAACAGCAGCTACTAGCAACCAGCCATTCATCTTCACCGTTGGTCCTCATGTAGTCTCACCTCCGCCCCTCTGTCCTCTCTCCCTCTGTCCTCTCTCCCCCTGTCCTTTGCCACAACTCACCATGCCAGCAATGTGTCTCGCAACCGCCTCTCAGGCCCTCTGCCCAACGCTGCTGCCAGTCCAGCTCTCATCATGTGCGTATGCCCTGGTAACCACAAGAACCCTCGTAACCACAAGAACCCTGGTAACCACAATATCTCTGGTAACCACAAAGCCCTGGTAACTACCATTCCATTTGAATCTTGCGAGTAGGAACTCCCATCCCCTTCCCTCTCCCTCCCCTTTCCCTCCTGCACCCTCCCTTTCCTTGTGCGTGTTCTCTCACCCGTCGCTTTTTCTTCTCTTGAGTCGACTCAAAAGCTTTTTCTTCTCTTGAGTCGACTCAAAAGCTTTTTCTTCTCTTGAGTCGACTCAAAAGCTTTTTCTTCTCTTGAGTCGACTCAAAAGCTTTTTCTTCTCTTGAGTCGACTCAAAAGCTTTTTCTTCTCTTGAGTCGACTCAAAAGCTTTTTCTTCTCTTGAGTCGACTCAAAAGCTTTTTCTTCTCTTGAGTCGACTCAAAAGCTTTTTCTTCTCCCATTTCCGCCCACCCACGTCTCTCTCTCTCTCCCTTCTACTCCCATCCATGCTCTCTCCCATATCTCCCTCAACACGCATCCAACACGCTCCCATCCCCTTCGCAGCGACCTATCATTCAACGCGCTCTCAGGTCCGCTGGAGAGGCCCCATATCAACCTCAAGCGCCTGGCCATGCTGTGAGTGTGGGGCCACGCTGTGAGTGTGGGGCCATGCTGTGAGTGTGGGGCCATGCTGTGAGTGTGGGGCCATGCTGTGAGTGTGGGGCCATGCTGTGAGTGTGGGGCCATGCTGTGAGTGTGGGGCCATGCTGTGAGTGTGGGGCCATGCTGTGAGTGCCTGGCAATGCTGTGAGTGCCACCACATGCCGTTGCTCTTACTCTCATCAGCCCGGCTTCGATGCTCGTGCTGTCTTTGAGTCGTTTGTGCTCTTCTTGCTTTGCTTGCGTCCCCTGCCCCGCCATCGTGCATGCCTCCCCTTCTCGCCCACCCGCCCCCCATTCCTCCCCCCTGCCTCTCGTCCATCCCCCATGCGCCCTCTTGCTTCCCTTCCCGCCCAGCCCCCATTCCGCTCCTGCTCAGCCGCCCATCCCTGCTTCCCGTCCCCCCCCACCCTCCCCCTGCGTCTCGCCCCCCCCCACCCTCCCCTACTTTCCGTCTGCGTCCCCCCCCCCCCTGCTTTTCCTCCGCCCATGCCTGCAGGGCGGTGCACCACAACCAGCTCAGCGGCCCCATCCCCGAGTACCTCTGCCAATCCGTGCTGCAGATCATGTAACGCCCACACCCTAACGTTCACATGCTGTAACGTTCTCATGCACTGACGTTCACTAGGTGCAACGCGCTCACCATGCAATGTTTGGATAGTGTAATGCGCAATTGACTTAGCATTCACACAGTGTAGCATTCAGGTTATGTTCCCCTCAGGCCCAGTTGCAAGCAGGCAGGTATGAATGTGGGCATCCAGGTAGAGAGATGCCCTGGTGAAAATAAAGGCTTGTCATCCATGCATGGTCATCCATGTGAGATGCTCTTTATCGTGCAAGCAAAGGCTTGCACTGGTGACAATGCATTGCACAGGCGAAAACGCGTTGTACTTTCACCCTGCGCTAGTTGCCTCCTCCCTACTGCCATCCTTTTGGGTGCTGACATCTACCCACACCATCCATCTTGTTTGCTTCCTCACCCCTCGCTCCCCTCACCCTCACCTCCACTCTCGCGTTCTCCTATTGCCTCTTTTGCCCCATGTCTCCACCTGCCCACCTTCCCACCTGCCCACCTTCCCACCTGCCCACCTTCCCACCTGCCCACCTTCCCATTTGCCCACCTTCCCATTTGCCCACCTTGCCCACCTTCCATTTGCCCACCTTCCCATTTGCCCACCTTCCCACCTGCCCACCTTCCCACCTGCCCACCTTCCCATTTGCCCACCTTCCCACCTGCCCACCTTCCCATTTGCCCACCTTCCCATTTGCCCACCTTCCCATTTGCCCACCTTCCCACCTGCCCACCTTCCCATTTGCCCACCTTCCCATTTGCCCACCTTCCCATTTGCCCACCTTCCCATTTGCCCACCTTCCCATTTGCCCACCTTCCCACCTGCCCACCTTCCCATTTGCCCACCTTCCCACCTGCCCACCTTCCCATTTGCCCACCTGCCTCCTCCGTCCACCTGCAGGCTCCTGAGCAGCAACGCCTTCTGGGGGGCCCTCCCTCAGTGCCTGCCCTTCCTCTCCTCCGTCCAACTCATGTCCGTTCTCCTATTCAGCCTTCGCCTTTCAACATTTGCCCTTTGCCCTTTCAACCTTCGCCTTTCAACCTTCGCCCTTCGCCCTTTCAACCTTTGCCCTTTGCCCTTTCAACCTTCACCCTTCAACCTTCACCCTTCAACCTTCGCCCTTCGCCCTTTCAACCTTCGCCCTTCGCCCTTTCAACCTTCGCCCTTCGCCCTTCAGTTTTGCCTCCTTCGCTCATCACCATGACGTTGTTCTCGTTCCTCTTTCTCCCCGCTGCTCCTCGTGTCGCACTCTCGTTTGTAACCCTGACCTCCAATTGTGCTGTGAATTCCTTGCCCTTACCTTCCACGCCATCTCCGCTCCTGACCTCTCTTCTTCCCCTTGACCCCTGCACCCCCTTACTCTGCGCCTGTCTCCCAGAGACGTCAGCAACAATCTGATCTTCATGGATGCCGCAACCTTCCAAAACATGCCGCCAATCAGCCTGGATCTCAGCGGCAACTACCTCTACGGCTCCCTCTCCCCCTCCCCCAACATCAGCCTCTCCTCCTCCTCCTCCTCCTCCTCCTCGCCACCCATCCCCTCTCTCGTCCTCCCTGCGACCCCCCAACCCCAGTCCCTTCCCCCCTGGGCAGTCCAGGATGCAACGAAATCTGAGTGGGCGTGGGTATGGCAGGGGGGGCAGCAGGGGGCAACTGGAGCAGGAGGGGCGAGCGGGGGGAATAGCAGCAGCGCAGCGGCGTGGCTGGCTGTGGAGGGCAACTGTGTGGGGAGTGAGGTTGTGGGGCAGCAGCGGGGGGCAACAGAGTGTGCGGCGGTGTGTGGGATAGAGCCAGGGCAGGGCCCCTGTGGGGGTGTGGGTGCGGGGCAGTGTGTGGTGCAGAGCGGTTGGCCGCCGTCCCTCTCGTGCTCCTGTGCCAGTGGCTACGTTGCTGTCACTGCTGTCGGCACTGCCAATACCACCACTTGCCAGCTGCCGCCCCCTTCCGGTATGTTGAAACAGTGGCTTGAGCTCTTGCCCCCTATACAGTGTCTACCCAACCCTCTTTGCTGCCTTCTTTAGCTTCACTCCCACTCCATTTTTCCATTCCTTGGCAGTGGCCTCTCTGTCCACGGGTGCCATAGTGGGCATCGTTCTGGGCTGCTTTGCTGGCTTCACGCTGCTGGCTGCTATGCTCGCATGGTTGCTGTGGCCCCGCGGACCAAGTAAGCCCCTCCACCCTCCTTCGGCTCCTTTCCGTCTCCCCTAATGTTGTACCTGCTTCCTGGCCTCCTTCTCTGCTTAATTTCCCTGCCGTTTTTCCTGCGATACAACTTTGCCTTTCCACGACCCTCATGTTCTCTCCACTCATCTACACACTTGGTCACAAATTAATCTTGGTCGTTCTCTCCCTCATCTGCTGTGTGCACAGAGAAGTGGGAGGGGTTGGATGTGTGCGAGCAGTTCTCGCTGCAGCAGATGCTCAAGGCCACCAGCAACTGGTCCGAGGACAATGTGCTGGGCAAGGGTGGCTTTGGCATTGTCTACAAAGGCTGCTCGCCGCAGGGGCAGCTGTGGGCCATCAAGCGCTCCACCATCATGACCAACGACTTTGAAACGGAGGTCAGGCATTCCTCTACTCCCTGTTTTCCCTCCACAGAGCACAGAAGTATAACGGTACTCTCTGTTGTCCAAAATGCTGACCTGCAGATTCCACGTTCGCCTGTCGATTTCCCTCTGCATCTGCCTGCATTGTGTTCCGTGTGCATGTTGCAGGTGCGAGCCATGGCCTCTCTCCACCACGTGCATCTGGTGCGCCTGCTGGGCTTCTGCCTGGACCAGAACGTGGAGACGGGCAGGCAGGAGCAGATTCTCGTGTACGAGTTCATAGACAACAGGGACCTCCAGTACCACATCCATGCCACCAAGCGTGAGTAGCACTCGCACGATGGCAAAATGGTTGCCAGTCGTGTGTGTATATATATGTATATACATTCTGCACAGAGCGTGACACCGTCTCTCATATAACTGCGCGTTCTGCTCCATGTACGTCTTTCCTGACCCAGGTCCGCTCTCTCTGCGCCAGAGGCTGCGCCTAGCACAGGGAACAGCAGAGGGCCTGGCATACCTGCACGGTTTTGACACGACCATCGTGCACCGCGACATCAAGCCGGCAAACATTCTTGTGACAGCCGACATGCAAGCCAAGGTGGCTGACTTCGGGCTGCTCAAGCGCCTCACTCACGGCGATGCTGACGCCACACGAGTGGCCGGCACTCCGGGCTATGTGGACCCGGACTACAACCGCACCCACATCATCACAGCCAAGAGCGATGTGTTCAGGTTCGCATGCACGCTCGTGCTCAATCCCATGAACTGGTGCACCTCACTTGTTTTCTGATCTTCCTGCTTGATGCTGAATACTTGTACCATGCACCTCTCTCTCTCTCTCTCTCTCTCTCTCTCTCTCTCTCTCTCTCTCTCTCTCTCTCTCTCTCTCTCTCTCTCTCTCTCTCTCTCTCTCTCTCTCTCTCTCTTTTGAATTTATTCCTTTGAATTTATTCCTCTGTGTCCAATGCATGATTGCTTGCAGCTTTGGAATCGTGCTGCTTCAGTTGCTAAGTGGAAAATCAACCCATGTTGGCACTGACGAAAAAACGCATATAAGAAAATGGGTACGATCGTCAAGTATGAAATCCAAGGTTCCAGTTGGCGCAAATATGAATGTTGCATATCAGAGAACGTTTGTACCCATCACAACTCAAATCTGTCTTTTCATTTCTTTCATGGCCGCACATTTATCCTGAATTCCCATTCACTCTGGATATCCTGCCTTTCCTTGCTGTCATGCTGCCTTCCACTGGATTTCCTGCTTATCAGTATTTCACCTCCTCCCCCATGCTTCATCCTTTCCTTGTGTGGATGCCCTGCAGGCGATGAAGAGGGTGGAGGCGTATGAGCTAGAGGAGCTGAGGGACAGGAAGATGCCAGCGGTCAGTGAGGAGGCGATAGTGGACTTTGCAGACCTGGCTCTGGACTGCATCAAGTCTCCCGGCACACGGCGACCCACCATGAAGGATGTGGCATACCGCCTCAGTGCCCTCATTGCCAAGCACTGCCCCGACAAGGAGGACGAGTGGGAAAGTGTTGCGAGAGACGAGAGTGCAAGCAACGAGGGTGTGTCTTCAGGAGATGTTCCTGCTGTGTCGTTTGGAGATGGTGGGAGGGAGCCCGAGGGGTCTGATGGCTCACACTCTGGTGTGAGCTCATTCATGCTTGGCTCGATGGGTGATGGCCTCTTGAGTTGGCTGCAATTGAAGCCAACCAAAGGGCGCTGAGTTTGCCCATTATGCCTATATGTGGGTTCAGGGTTTAGAAGATAACCTTATTCTCCTGAGGCCTGACTAGGGTGTCACATGGTCTAAAACCACTTGGTGTCTGTCCTTGAGACTTTTCCACCCGTGTTCCCGTATCCTCATATTCCCATGATGTGTTGATGTGGTGTTGCAGCACAACTTGAAAGGAGGACCCCTGGGTTGATCAATGCTTGGTGCTTGTTGCAGTTAAGCAGAAATTAGTCAGGAAGTCGTAGAAGACCGTAAGGAATTTTCTCGATATTCCTTAGCGCGCCCTGCAACATCGCGTACAGCAGCAGCCGTTGTTCGCCCGTTACTGCTAACGGGGCTTTGCCGACTTAGTGCGCACTGTTTCACCAAACCTCGCCTTGCTAGCCTGGCCGTGTCGGCCTACGCTTCGGGACTAGCCCGAGCCTCGCATCCAGCATAGCACTAGCTAGCTCGCACGCACCGCATTACCGTTTGCATATTTCGCGTATAAATGTTCGCTCATGCCTTCGCTCACATTTTGTACTCGTTTGACACCGTAGTGCAATTCTCGCTACTTCGATTCATTACACCCGTAACAGTTGGTATTCAGAGCTTCTTTCTTTCGAACAGCGCATCTCCGCACCCCAGGAAATCAACTTTTGATTTTTCACTCGAAGGGACTCACGCACCTTAGCCCCTAGGAGCCGCTGTCCTCGCGTTCTCTCGTAAACGCGTGCAGCCACGACTGCGCCTAGACTAAGACGAGCCAACGCCCTTTGAAATGGCCGAACACATTGACGTCACCACCCTCACGCAGGACCGCCTGGACGAGCTGCTACGACAACTGCACGAAAGCTCCGAAGAAATCGTGGCATTAACGGTGGAACGCACCTCCCTGCAAAATGACCTCGCACGAACACAATCCCAAGCGCCTGGCACTCCGATACAACCCGCACCACAGACATCGCAACACGGAAGTGTGGGGCAACCCGCGAGCGCGGCCAGTGATGGCGTCGTCCGCCACGACGGAGACGACGACCACGGCACGACATACCCCGACGCAACGAATGCGGCCAGGAATCAGCCTCGAGTCACGATTTCCGTGCTGGCCGGCGAATCGACTCTACCGTCGCCGATGCCGCTGAAGCCACAGCGTCCGCCATGTTTCGACCCGAGTCAATGGGGTGATCCTACTGTTCAGGCGTGGCTCTTCACGTTGAATGTTTTCTTCGACGCGAACTACGTCTCGGAGGATACGGCGAAGATTCGTTACGCCGTGTCGTTGCTGCGAGGACCCGCCATGGACTGGTGGCGTGTCATCGTCTCGAAGCCGGTGGATTGCGCGACTCTACCGACACGGGAAGGACAAACCGGACCCTGGGCGCCGTCGTATTTCGTGGAGGTGCCCCAGTATCGCACATGGGACGCGTGGTGCGCAGGTGTGCGCGCTTGTTTCGAGCCAATTGCGGCCTCGATCGCGGCGCGACAGAAGCTCCGCACTTGGCGCCAACGCGGTTCCGTCCAAGACTACACGAGCGGATTTCTGGCGCTATGCGAGCAGGTGGGCTACATGCATGAGAGCGAGCGCATCAACCGCTACATCGGCGGCCTGAAGCAGGACATCGCTCAGGAAATCCAGCTTCGCGACGTCACCGACTTTCAAGAAATCCTCGCTATGGCGGAGAAGCTCGATTTCTTCCGCCGACCGAGACCGGGGTCCTATGGAAGCAGCAATCGGGGACATCGGCTTCGTGGGACAAACGAGGGCGCTACGATATGTGCCGTCGCCGCAAATGCTGCTGCCGCACCATTCAAAGGGCGCTGCTTTGCGTGCAATCGACCGGGACACCGTAAGAGCGAATGCCTGGAAAACGCTAAGGGAAAGGGGGAAGCTGAGCAGCAGAAACAGACCAAGCAGCAGGGAAACGCTGGGAGTCAGTAGCAGACGGACCCTCTACTGACAGGTCACGCCGCTCGCCCGACCCAACTGACCCTCACCGAGTGATTGTGCCGGTTCACGCAATCGACCACACCCGGCCGAATAAGGAGGGTACTACGGTAGACAGCCCCATACTGCTTAGTGGGAAAATTGGGACAGACTTAGTTAAAATCTTCGTAGGAGGGGCCAGCCACAGCCTTATCAACACTGCCACAGCACGGAAAATGCGATTGCCATTGGATAGATGCTTACCTGAGATCGACGCAAGACTGGTCGACGGCACGCCACTGGCGATACGGGAACGTGTGGACCGAGTTCGGATTCGATGCGGGGGTAACTTCACGTTTAGCCAGGAAATGCTCGCAACGACCCTCGACGAAACCGACATTTTACTCGGCCGTGATTGGCTGCGACGACACAATCCACGAATCGACTGGACGACGGGTGACTGCACTGTGCGAGTGAACGGTAACAACATCGCCTTACCTCGCTGGGGCTCGCCTGAGTCTTCGTCGGTGCGTGTCAACGCGATCACGATGAAACGCGCCGTAGCGGCAGGAGCTGACGTGTACGCGGTTGACATTCGGGAAGCCGAGGCAGCAGACAAAGGGGGGGATTTACAGAAACTGCTAGCCGACATACCGGGTGATTTGGCAGCACTGTTGAAGCAATACAGTGACATCTTCCCGGACGACCTACCGACGGGACTGCCACCTCAGCGAACGCACGACCACAGGATAGAGTTAGAACCGGGGGCACAGCCAACAGTACAGCGATAGTTCCGACTGACCCAACCCGAACTGGACGAACTGAGGAAGCAGCTGGATTACCTGCTCGAGAAGAAGTTCATTCGCCCTAGTTTGTCACCCTTTGCAGCACCAATACTGTTCACACCGAAAAAGGACGGGGGTTTTCGCATATGCATAGACTACAGAGCACTGAACAGGGTTACCATAAAATCCCGTTACCCCATTCCACGAGCCGACGAACTGATCGACCAACTGCGCACAGCCCGGGTTTTCTCGAAAATTGTCCTTCGGGGAGGTTACCACCAGATTCGCGTCAACCCACCCAACAGCCCCAAGACAGCCTTCCGAACACGCTACGGATCCTTCGAATACACCGTCATGCCCTTCGGACTGACCAACGCCTCCGCCACTTTTCAAATGACCATGAACGAAGCCTTTCGCCCGCTTTTAGATAAGTGTGTCATCGTGTACCTTGACGACATACTGATTTACAGCCCCGACAGAGCACAGCACTTACAAGATATCGAAGCAGTTTTTAAGATACTGAGTAAGAACCGCCTACTGACAAAAGCGTCTAGGTGTGAATTTTTACAGGACCGACTGGAATTTTTGGGACACATCACTTTAGCTGCAGGAGTGGAAATAGACCTGAAGAAGATCGCGACGATTCAAGCGTGGCTCGCGCCGACCAACTTGACCGAGTTGCAGAGTTTTCTGGGGTTCGTCAACTATGTGCGCCGGTTCGTCCCCGACATGGCGAAGCGGACTGCCCCGTTGACTGACCTGCTGAGGAAGAGGGTTGAGTACACGTGGTGGGAGAAGGAGCAAGCTGCCTTCTCGGCCCTCAAAAATATTTTGTGCTCGCCGCCCGTGCTTCACATCGCAGTTCCGCACCGCCCGTTCAAACTCGTCACCGACGCTAGCGACATTGCTGTGGGAGCAGTACTGTTGCATGACTTTGGGAACGGCCTTCAGCCAATCGCGTACGAGTCCCGCAAGCTTCACCCGCCCGAACGCAACTACCCGATACACGACCGCGAGATGCTGGCACGCGTTCAAGGTGTGGCGATGTTACCTCACGGGAGCAGACATGACACTACGGACAGACCACCGATCACTACAGTACCTTCGCGCCCAACCGAATCTCAACCCACGACAGATCCGCTAGTTGGACTATCTGGAGTCCAACTTCCACTACACGGTCACGTACAAAAAAGGCGCATCCAACATCGCCGACGCACTCACACGCCCCACCGCCCAACTCCACGCCATCCTACTCGCCCAAACCAACCCACTGTTAACAAGCCTATTCACCCACGGATACAGTACCGACCCATTTTTCGTGACCGGAAACTCACAGCAACTGGCAGAGGCCAGAGGAGTCTATTACGTAAAAACAGACACCAACCGTATCTGGGTACCCGCGTACTCACTACTGAGGGAACTGTTACTGCAGGAGGCAGACGACGGGATTACCTCGGGACATTTTGGGGTAGAAAAAACGCGACAGCAACTGCAGCGGTATTACTACTGGCCGGAGCTGTTGACCGACGTACAGCAGCACGTGGGCTCGTGTCCTACGTGTCAGGTGATGAAGAGCTCGCGAAAAAGAAAGGCGGGTCAGTTGCAGCTGTCAGAACATTATAGCTTATACTTTTGTGTAGGCTGAAGTGGGGTAGCCCATAAGGGGTACAACCCAATTAGGGTTAGTACTTGTACCCAACTGTTTCATAGTTCATTCATTCTCGTTCAAATTTCACATGGTATAGAGCAGGTTCCCCCTGTGGGAACTGTTCCTAGGGCCCACCGTTTTTTTTTTCCTGCCCGGAGCGCGCTCAGCCTCTGCCCGAGTCGCGCTCCCCTCTTACGACCCCGTCGCGCCGCCTTAGCGGCCCCGTCGCGTCGCGCCTCCCTAGCGGCCCCGTCGAGTCGCCCTTGCGACCCCGTCGCGCCGCCCTCGCGGCCCCATCACGTCGCGCCGCCCTCGCGGCCGCGTCGCGCCGCCCTTGCGGCCCTTTCGCGCCGCCCTCGCGGCCTCTTCGAGCCGCCCTAGCAACCCCTCCAAGCCGCCCTCGCGGCCCCGTCGCCTACCCTTGCGGCAACGGCGCCTACCCTCGCGGCCCCGTCGCCTACCCTGCGGCCCCGTCGCCTACCCTGCTAGCCCCGGTGCCTACCCTGCGGCCCCGTCGCCAACCTTGCTGGCCCCGTCGCCTACCCTGCAGCCCCGGCGCCTATCCTGCGGCCCCGTCGCCTACCCCTGCGGCCCCGGCGCCGCCCTTCCCGGCCACGGCGCCGCCCTTCCCGGCCCCGGCGCCGCCTCTGCT